ATTTTTGTTATTGTTGGACAAGAGGCTTAAACCCCACAAACTATAGGAGTGCAACATTATTGATTAATATTGGCTTGGATACTTTGTTTTCCACCATAGTAAACATAGAAAAAACAGGGGCTTTCCTTGCCACTGGATTGCGTAAAATACACTGCCAGTCTCTTGTCTTTGTTCACCATGACTACTTCTGGTATGTAGATGAAGTACTGAAGAAATGTACCTCAAGCCAAGCTTCTGAGGTGCTTCTTATCCCTCAATCAAAAGAATTTATGCCAAAATTTTCCTTTTTCTTCTAAAGAAGAATCTTTCCCTGGAGGAAATTCAGAAAAATTTAGAAGCAGCAGAAGACAGGCACCAATCCCACTCAGCCGAGGTGGTGTAGCAGCTTGCTGAAGAAGAGCACACGAAAGAAGTGTTTCAGAAAGCAACAGCAGAAAAGAGCAAGTGCAGTGACACCGCCTACTCTGGCACTGGTTGGCAAGGAGGTTTCCGTGTGTAGGTCCTGGCTCCAGTAGGTTGGACTCTACATTTTCCTGTCTTTCTCTCCAATTTTTTGTGGTAGCAGTTTGCCCTTTGATCTCAATTCTCTGATGGTCCTACAAAGAGTTGTTGATTTTTAGTTTGTTCAACTTTTTATCTGTTGCTAGGACAGAGTGGTGACTTCCAAATTACTCAAATGCTGGACTAAAAATAAAGAGAAAGGAAAAAAAGCAGAAGAAAAGGCAGTGAGATTAAAAATGGGTAAATTCTTTGTACAATTTTGTAAGTCATTGGGTCACTCCAAAAGATTGTGGTCATGAATAGATAAATAGCAACCGCTTCTTGTGGTTTAAATGCTCTGAAAAAAGAAGCAAGGGCATTTCCCACATCTGTGACTGCTCTTACTACTTGGTAGGCATTCAAATTTAGAGGCACTTCATCTCGAAACAGCTAAGAAAACAAATAAGTTGTTCAAATAAATAAAAGATTCAACTATTGTACTAGTATACTATATTTAGTTAAGTGGTTTTATGAGAAAGAATAGGCCTTGATGGAATTGTTGCTTTACTCATGGTTCGATCAATTAAATTCATTCATTCGGGCCTGCGAACCAGACAATCGCGGTTCGATTCCCAGTCAGGGCACATTCCTGGGTTGCAGGCCAGTTCCCTGCAGGCTAATTCCCAGCAGGGGACGCACGAAAAGCAACCATACACTGATGTTTCTCTCCCTCTCTCCTTCCCTTTCCCTCTAAAAGATAAATAAATAAAATCTTTTAAAAAAAAAACACTTAGGCAACATTCAGTGGAATAAATCATTACTAGCCTGAGTTTAAAAAAAAAAAATTCATTCATTTATTCATTCAACAAATTGAGTCCTCAGGATGTGCCAGGCACTGTGCTAGAAACAAAATTAAAAATACTGTTCCTGCCAGCAAGTCTCTTAAGCTGCTCAGAGAGACAGGCACATAAATGGGAACTTAGAAAACCATGTGGCACAAAAAAATAATAGAGAGGTGCACAAGGTTATGGAAAGATGAGGAAGGACATTGAATCTGGCTGGGAGCAGGAAAAGGCCTCCAGAACACAGTGGTGCCTGAACAGAATATTAATAAGTCCAGAATATTAGAATATTCTTCTCCTATAAAGCTTAGACTATGAATAATGTTTTTTGTTGTTGTTGTTTCATTCCTCTTTTAGCCAAGTCCTAAAGGCTGTGGCTCCTATAAATAAGACCTAGAAATAACTGGGTAATGTAACAGGGCATGTGTATTTCTGTAAAAAATGATGAGGCATCCCCAACAAACAGGAGGGATGACATGGAGCAGTGGAGCATCAGAGAAGTTTTGCAGTGTTTGAAGCCTCTGAGATGTTGTGCATTACAGCTGGAGTGAGGCTGTGCAGGTATCTGACCACAAACAAATTGGTGCTTCAGCAAAAAAAAATCACTGCCATAATATGGTGATATTTAGGTGGTATTTTGTTCTTTGGACACCCCAGAACTGAAGATCCCCTGCAGTCACTCATACATCTACAGCAGTTATTAAGTTTACAATCAGAAAGGGGGTGATAGGGAAATAAACCTCAAGATTATAGTATAGAAACCTCTAATTCACAGAGGAGGAATCTGAGAGGAAATCTGCCTGCCTGAGGTCATACAGCTATTTACTAAGAGAGATGAAACCAGAATGGGGATCTAGGTCATTTATTCATTCATGAAAACAACTGAATGGTATCTAAATGCCAGGCTATGTGCAGAGTACAGAGTATGAAATTTATGCATATTGATACTTCCCTACTGTCCCCCACCCAGCTTCCTGCCCCAAATATCAGTTTTACTCATAAATACTTTAGATATATCTTAAAAACATATTAAAACATAACTACCTTATCACTATATTCAACATAATTTACTATTATCAAATATCTAGTTAATGTTGACAGTATCTAATTATTGTAGATCAACTTATTGTTTGTGCAAATTAGATCCAAATCAGATGTAATAACATTGTGCATTAAAAGTCTCTTCGTTCCCCTTATTTGTTGAAGAAACAAGGTCACTACCTCATAGAATTCCCCAGTGTGGATTTACTGATTGTAACCTTAGTTTTCATTTAACATTCCTCCACCTTTTGATTGATTGATTGATTGATTGATTGATTTTCTCCAGGGTCATATAGCCAGTGAGTGGCAAAGGCCAGATTCAACAGTTGCTTGTTTTATGGTTCTATTAAATGAACTCCTTTCGCCTTTTAAATGGCTCAATTAAAAAGAAAACCAATTTATTCTTAACACACTGGAAACATATTCATTGCTCATAAGTTGAGAGAATCTTATATATTCGAGCTCTCATTCTAATAGGGTTCTAAGATATTAGAAGGCTGAGGGTCAAGTTATGCAACTTTCAGTTTATGAACTATTTCTTCAGCACCACTATATGTCATATCAAGATATATGTCATTGCACTTCCCCTCAGGGAACCATGGAACAGGACATATAATAGTAAATACTAAACTGCATAGCCCAGGAGAAGGAGCAACAACGAGTGGGGATTCTCAGAGGTTCCTTTTCTTTTTTTTTTTTTCCAAGTAAACTGCTCATTTATTAGCGCCAGGACTGCAATATAACAGGTTCCAGTAAATATGCTGAACTGCAATGAGATGACAGAACAAGGTGAGGTTCAGATAAGTGAATGGTGGGTTCTTATCTCTTCCACTCGTTCTTGTAATCCCACTTGGCAGAGAAGCCCTGGATCGGGCTAACCTTCATGTGGGGCAACCTCTTGGTCTGTTTGGCCACCCACTCCTCTTCAAAGGTGTGCAGGATGGGGTCATACACATAGTACTTGTCCAAAATCAGAATGAGAGCAGTGAAGGAGATGAAAATCATGGCAGCTCCCACAACTGTCTTCCACTCATTCGTGCTCCTGTTCACTTCAGCGAAGCTCTCGCTGAACTTAATGAGATACAATTCAACTTTTCCAACAATTGATAAGACTGCTCCAGGGGTTGTTCTCCTCTTTCAAGGCTTTCTGGCTGGCAGAAAGGTTCTTGACGTGGGCCCCATCAGGTAAGGGATAGTCAAGTCGACCGACATACCTTGGGGAAAGCAAAGTCCTCACTCTTCACAACACTCCCGCGTACTAGGGAGCTCACACAGTGCACACACCGAGGTGGAAATTGCTCGCTTGCCAATTAGGGTAAATACTCCATTGTCAACATTCTGCCGCAGCCTACTGGGCCCGCCGCGACCGCCCTGGCTGCCTGAGACCAGAAGAGAGACACAGAAAGTTTCAAGGAAGATTAGAATTGAGCTCCATTTGAAGGGATCAGAAGAATATTTGCACTGAGATGGAAAAAGAGGGACACTTCGGCGCATGAAAATGGGACCCGAAACTAAACGTGACAAGCTCTGGGGTGGCCTGCATGGTGCACTTGCAAGCTCAGAGACTGAAAGTAACCACGTGAGATGGTCTGAAATTAAAAATTCCTAACTGAAAGTGAGTCACGGTGAGCACTCACGTCCTAGGTTGGAATCTTCCTGGACAAAGGCCAATGTTTGCCTTAACTGAGCCTGTCTGTTGTCTTTTTGCAGCTACAATATCCTAGCTTCTGAAAGTCAGAGTATCCCCTTTCTTCCAGACTCCACAGGGCACAACCTCCCACCCGAGCAGGAGACCCCGGAACCCCTCATTGTTATTGCTGCCCAAATACCATCTCCATGCTGTATACGTTGTTAAGTAACCTGTACCCACCAACGTAAAAGTATTTGTCTCTTCATTTTCAGGGATTGTCCTGCTTTGCTTTCTCCCTCCTCCCTAACCTACCGCCAGTGGATTTCATGTAACCCGTCTTATTACACCCCCTTCTTTGATTCCAATGTGTAAAATAAACTGCAGAACTGCCCTTCTCCAGAGCATTTTCTTATTCCGTTAGGATTTCGGAATTGTCACTTTGGCTCAAATAAACTCATGAAAATGCTGACAGGTTTGGACGTTTCTAACGTCCACAGAGGTAAGAGTGGTAGCAGCTTACATACCTCTGAAAATCAGTGTACACCCCGTCACGGAGGTTGGGCGACCCAATTATCCGCTGATAGTGTGGTAAAAGGAAGCTACCGGTGAGTTGGAAGTTCAAACATCTGGAATAAATTAGGTGGCTGAGAAGCGAGCAGCGCACGGCGTTCCGCGCGGGCCACCCTAGCGCCTCTGGCGCCGCTTGGCAGGACTGCAGTCCCTCTTATCTGAAACCCCAAGTTCAGAGGCGTTACCGTTTGACCCTACCAACCTTCCGCAAACTGACTCATAATAGGGTGTTAGAAGGATCTACGCGCCAGCCCTGTCTTTTCGCACAAAGAGGGTGGGAGGAGGGGCCGGCGCAGGCGCCGTAACACTATCCGAAAATAGGGTCATCAGTCCGCCTCCTGGCGCAGAGAGGCAGGGCGACGCATGCGTTGTGACTTGTGCGATACAAAGTTCACGCTAGGGAGGCGGTGACGTAATGACAGAGGAGGCGGTGGTCAAGGAACGGAAGCCGAGAGGGAACCAGGGCGGAAGGGGCCAGGCCAAGCTTGTGTTCGGCACCTTGGCCGGGCTGGGGTTCCGATGTGGTCCCCGGAGCGGGAGGCCGAAGTCCCGGCCGGGGGAGACCCGGCGGGCCTACTGCCCCCCGAGTGGGAGGAGGATGAAGAGCGCATGTCCTTCCTGTTCTCTGCTTTCAAAAGGAGTCGCGAGGTGAACAGCACCGACTGGGACAGCAAGATGGGCTTCTGGGCGCCGTTGGTGCTGAGCCACAGCCGCCGCCAGGGGGTGGTGCGCCTGCGTCTGCGGGACTTGCAGGAGGCCTTTCAGCGCAAGGGCAGCGTCCCGCTGGGGCTGGCCACGGTGCTGCAGGACCTGCTGCGGTGAGGGCGGGCCCGGGCCTGGGGTGGGGGCGGCTCCCTGAGGTCAGGGAGCCAGCCGGTCGGTTCTCTGTCCGCGCACCGCGCCCAGCCCGGGTTGGCTCAGAGCAGTCTGTGTTTGCTCAGCAGGCTAAGGCAGAGGAAGACGAGAAGGAGGTTGGGGTTGCGGTGTTTGGGGGCAGATATCGGCAGGGTATGGAGATAAGCCAATTAAATGAGATCCAGACAGAGGAGAAGCCAGGCTGGCTTCTGTCATGATTTATCAGGGCTGGAATCCCATTATGGAGTTGTTTTGCAGGGCCTTCCAAATTTTGATTACTCCAGAAGATCTGTAAGGTAAGATTTCTTAAATTAAGGAAGCGCTAAGAAGGGGGCAGTATTGGGGAAGAGGCCAGGTTGTAGGGATCTTGCCGACAGATAGCCCATACATAGCACAGGTCATGTGTGTGGGCTGTCTTGTCCTTGGCATAGGCTCTTTGAAGCTGAATACATGACAGATGGCGAGGGCTTTACTATCTTGGTGCTCTGAGAAGGTCCTGTAGGTGCTACCTGTGCAACAGGTGCGGTGTTTTGGAATACCTGAGGCAGTAGCGTGGATGTCTGATAGATGTATAGCACTTCACAGTGTGCAGATCCTTCGCATATCCTGTTTATTTAATCTGAACCCCTCAGGAGTCCTGTGGACTAGATGACAGAATTATCCTCAGCAGACAGAAGAAGAAGCAGCCTCAGAGACACCACACGACTTCTTTGGGGTTACACATCCAGCTAGAGATGATGCCAGGACTGGACCCTGGTCTTCTGATTCTAAGTCAATTGCACTTCACATTGTATAGTTCCTATCCAGAGCAGTCTGGCCAGCCTAGTGCCTGCCTCTCTCAGTGAATGAAGAAGAAAGTCAAGTTTGAAATGTTTTTAGCTTCCTGGTCTTCCTGATCAGAAAGTCCCCCTTCCTCCCATTACCTCTCCATTGACTGGTATTGATGGGACAAGCTGTTTCTGAAACTTCTCTCACCTGAGCAGGGGTAGTGTGGACAAAGTTTTAGTTCATGCCTAAAGTGGATTTCCGGGGAGAGGGTAGCTGAGGAAGTCATTCAGAAACAGGAACAGTCTGGGCTTCCTAATTGCAGCAGGACCATCCTCTACCATTTCTGATTCAGAGGTCTTTCATACCTCAGTCTCTCCTTTCCTGGCTGCTGGCACTGTGCTGACGCATCCTGGCGTTTGGCGGCATCTGGCACCAGGAGAATTTTGAGGAAGCCGTGAGCCTTGGAAGCAGCAGAGTTTAGTAGTTAACAGCTTTGCTTGAGGGCCAAATGACCTGGGCTCAGAGCCTACTAAATTACATGACCATGGATAAATTCTGTTACCGTGGACAAATTATGTACCCTCTTTAAGCCTCAGTTTGACCATTTATAAAGTGGTGGTGATTATTGAAACTTGGTTTATTGTGAGGATTTCAAGAGATACTCCTTGCATAGCCCTTAACAAAGTGACCAAGCCCATGGCCAGCATTCAGTGAATGTCACTACTACCACTAGTACCAGGAAATGCTTGTGTCTTCTCTCCACCGTAGCTTGGGAAGAGCAGCAGACCCTTACTCTGAATTCTTTGTATTCTTCCTTATGCCTTGCATTTCACAGTGATCCATTATTGTTATTTTCATTTTATCACTTTTGAGCTCCATTTGTGAAAGTCTCATCATGGGCCCTTTGTCCTCCTTTGCCTCCGCAGTCTTAGGGTTTTGGACCTAAATACTAGGTCCAAAGAGCTTGTGTTTTAGACCTAAATTACAGTTTAGATCTGGTCTCTCTCACCTTCTCAGCCACTCAGTTTTCTCACGAGCAAAAGTGCCAATGACACCATCTGGCTTGCGGATGTATGAGGTTTTGAGCTGGAGCATAAACGTGGTAGCTGCTCATTGTAGCTGGCACAGAGTAGCCACCTAATATATGGTGTTGATGATGATCAGATTCTTCTTGGGGGGGAGGGGGGTTGGGGGCCTGGAATGGGACATCACATGATGCCTACTGTGTGCCCTTTCTTTGCAGTCGAGGAGAGCTGCAGCGGGAGTCTGACTTCATGGCCAGTGTAGACAGCAGCTGGATCTCCTGGGGGGTCGGAGTCTTCCTGCTGAAGCCCCTCAAGTGGACTCTCTCCAACATGCTTGGGGATAATAAGGTTCCTGCAGAGGAGGTGCTAGTGGCTGTGGAGCTGTTGAAGGTGGGTACTGGGGAAGGAGAGGTCTGGGTGTCATTTGGTGTGGGGACAGGTTCTTCCACATCACTTGTAAGTATCATTAGAGAGAGAATCTATCCTTTTACCTGGTGATGGGTGTTAATTGTATACCTCACTTCCCTTATTCTGTACCTTGAAGCATCATTTAGATGAAAGTTGGACATCTGTTGGTTGGCCAAAAAGTTCATGTGTTTTTTTCCATAAAATAAAAGAAACATTTTTCATTTTCACCAACAATTTTATTGATCTGGATATTTTGAGAATGACAGCTATCTCTTGTATAGAACATTGATTGTTCTCAATGGTTTCGATTGCTGTCAGCTTCAACTGGTCTACCCCACTGTCGAGCATCATCCAGTGAAAAATCTCCAGCATCAATACACGCTGACATGACAGCTGTCACAATACAGTCTAACAAAATTGTTTCAGATGAAGTTAAAAGACAACTAAGCGCTACCAGAGCATCTTATGGAAAAAACAAATGAACTTCTTGGCCATCCATCCTAATAGATGTTGAGGGTGAGCCTCTCTGTAGGAATTGTCAGTAACATGCATTTGATTATTTTCTGCATTTGTAGGGATTCATGAAAAGCTAAATGATTAGAAAAATGCTTTGCCTTCTGTAATTTACTGACAAGAATTTCTCAGGATTCCTGAGGACCTTGTGACTTTCAGCTTTGCCTTCCCCTAAATCAGCAAACTACTTCATATTTTCTCCTCTCTGGCTATAACCCTTTCTCATTCCAGCTTACTAATGGCCTCACTTCCGTCAAAGAGGGCTCCAGGCCCTTGGTCCCTTCCTGCTGTCCTGGTCCGTCAGCTTCCCCCAGGCTTGCCCGCCCTACCAGCCTGGAGTGTGCAGTTGACGCCTGACTGCTTCCCTCCTCGGTACTCAGCTCCTTTGCAGCTCTCCTGGTCCACACCAGAGACTCCAGCAAATCCGCCACTTTCAGTCAACCTCACAGTCTCCATCCCTGCTAGAGAAAGTCGCCCTGTCCCCAAAACCTGGTCCACTTTCACAGCCCGAGCTTTAGGGGGGCCCTCAGAGCCGCCCCACAGCCTGGTTTTCTTGTCCTCTCCCAGCCCTTCACACACTCCTTCCGTGCTCTGCCCTCTCTAGCTCTGCAGACACTTCATGGAGAAGGTAGAATCTCCTGAGTCAGCACCTTCAGGGTTCTGTCCTCCTCTAGTGCAACGTCCCTGAGCCCTTCTTCTTAGCCAGAGTTCGGAGGATGAAGTGTCCTTCCTCTCTTCCACATGTACTTCTGGGTCTGTCCCTACACTGCTTGTCCCTGTCCCATAATCAGCCTCTTGTTCTGTATATTTCATCTCCCTCTTTGGTGCTTACCTTCATCAGCCTCTACGCTCGCTTGACTCCTGTGTGGGACCTGGGCCCCTGCCTAACTCTGCTCTGTCTCCTTCCCATCAAACCTTTTGTTGTCACCACTTCCTCACCTTCCACTCTCTCTGATGCAGTGCACACCAGCTTCAGCCCCAGCACTCCACCAAAGCTGCCGTGGACGATATTATAGTAACCTTGGGGCGGGGGGTGGAGAGAGAATGTACAAAGTTGACCGAACACCTGTTAGCAGAAGTATACTGCAGACAGTAGTTATTTTCATAACTCCCAGACTAAACCCAACACGAGGGTCCTTGCATAGCCCCAGAGGCTTCCACACAGCTGGAGCCAGCTCAGAAAGCCCCTTCCCCAACCCCAAGAAAAGCTCCAGTGCCTCCTCACCCCTGCAGACCCCCAGCCCTCTGTGCCTCAGACTGAAGGAGATCTCCAAAATCTACCACCTCTCCCAGTCCCCCAGGGTTCTGACTGAGAAGCACACATTTTTCTTCAGGAGAACACCTCTTCCCCGCTCTGCACTCTACCCGCATCCTCATGGTTGTCCCCCGACCCAGTACCCTGACCTGCAGGGCTTAGCCAAGGCCCCACAGAAACTGCAGGTTTGGGTGGTGCTGAGCCACGCCCCACTCTCCTGTGCAGTCTAACCTCCCGTGTTCTCCAACTGGGACAAAGGGACGTAGGTCCATTTATCCCCATGAATGTGGATTTGGACTCAGTCCTTAGAGAGCGAAGGCAGAGATGGGTGTGAGTGGAATTACATAGGTCTTCCAAAACCAGTGGTAATATTTGGTAGCAATGTGATGTAATCCTGGTTAGGTAGAAAAATAAATCTTCCTGCTCTGTAGGCGCATGGCACTGTTAAATCCGTACCCAGTCTATGTCACTAGACAGAATGTGTAATACTCAGTCTCATTCAGTGACATCTGCTTGCTAATATTTGGTGACTTCTGGTTTTCTCCTGGGATGGAGACTCATTTACCTTCTCGAAACTGCAGGGACTTACCTGGATATTTTATAAAACAAAGAAAACCTTCTGAGGTCAGTTGATGTTCTCAAGTCCAGACGTAGAAAGCAGCCAGTAACTTATTCGAAAAATGTTTAAAAAAGGAAAAATTGCCCATAGATTTTGCTGTTTTAAGAAATTATACAAAGAAATGAAAGTTTCCTTTCTGTTCATCCCATTCCCCTCTTTCAATACGTTTCCTTCCCGTGCGTGTGTGCGTGCGTGTGTTTACAGACATATCTTTGCTTATTGACTGCATCTCGCACTGTTACATATTACTTTCTGTTTTATTTCCTTGTCATCAGTCAGTAATTCCTGAAAATGTTAGTTATTTATTTTATGTATTTTACTTGTTTATTTATTATCTGTCTCTCTTACCAGAAGAGCTTCCTGGGACCTGGGACCCTGGGAACAGAGTCAGTAAATATTTGTTGAATAAATAAATGAATATACATGTATATTCATGTATGTGTATATACAGATACCACTTTTTTCTAGAAATGGAATCTTATTTTACCTATTGGTCTGCAAACTGCTTTGTGTTCTTTTCACTTAATGTATCATGAGCGTCCCCCTCCCCCGGTCCCTCCACAATATGGCTTGTCCTCATTCTTCGGGGTGGCCACGTGATCGTCTGCAGATACACCGGTTATGTAGCAGGTGCCACGTGGATGGACAGTTAAGTCCTTCCAATTTCTCTATTACAAAAAATACTTATCTGACAGCCTTGTTTGTATATTTGTGTACTTCTGCTTGTATTTTTCTGGAATCAGTTTCTAGAAATGCATATGTACACTTTACATTTTCACAGAAATTGCCAAATTACTTTTTAAAAGTTTGTACTGGTTTACGCTTTCATCAAGACTACATTACGGTGTGTAGCCGTCCCACACCCGTGTCAGCACTGGATGACGTCAGTCTTTTAAAATGTGCCAGTTTGATGAGAGAAAATGATACTTTATCAGATCAGAAGATGTGAGCATCTTTTCACCTATCTACTGGCCATTGATTTACATATTTCCTTCTGTGAATTGCCAATTTATGTCCTGTTTTGTATTGGATTTTTTATCTTTTACATTGATTTGTAGGAGTTCGCTGTGTGATATATATTTGTACCTGTATGTGTGTTTAGGGTTAGGGATATAAATACTGTTTCCCACTCTTTTGTTTGCTTTTCACTTTCTGTTTATGATGTCTTTCACCACATAGAAGTTTTCCCACTTCTACAGTCAGGTGTCTCCAGTTTTCCTTTATGGCTACTGAACTCTCATCTTGCTTAGGAACGTATCCTCTTTAGGTTTAATCAGATTTTTAAAAACAGTTTCTTCAAATTATTTTACACTTTTATTTTCTCAATTTAAATGGCAGTAATTTGTTACTCATTTTTGTAGGCAGAGAGGAAAAATATGTTTTCTTTTGAATGAGTGGCTCCTTGTTTTTAACATCACTTAGTCATGTTGTGCCCATTAATCTGTTTGTGTGCGGGTGCTGTCCTGTTCTCACTACAGTAGCTTTGCACTGTCCTGTTATCTGACAGGACAGTCAGATCTAAGCAGAAGTTGAGGTTGTACCTTATTAGACTCTTCTGTTGCCTTTGACACTCTTTAAAATTTTCCGTCTCCTCAACTTTGTTGGTTCTCCGTGAGCAGTGTTTCTGGGTCTTGTTTGTGGTCTCCTTCATCTCTCAAATGTTGGTCTCCCTTCAGCTTATTGTTTGCTCTCTGAATTTCCCTGTGATTTAATTGCCCCGCATCTTGTCCTGGCCTCTCCTGGAGCTCCAGACTGTGTATCCAGTTGTCGGCTGTACGGGTCTTCTCGGGGGCTTCGCAAGCATCCCACACCAACGTGTCCAATGTGGGGCGTTTTGTCTTTCCTCTAAAATGTGTTTTTCCTCCTGGATTCTTGCTGTTGACAAATGCATCACATCCACCCAGTCACTCAAACCAGAACCCAGGAGTCATGCAAGACTCCAGACCCAGTGACCATGGACCACCAGCCTTATCTTCTACATGCCGTTTGAATCTGTCCCTTCTCTGTCCCTGTTACCATTGCCTGTTCAGTCCCTCAAATCCTCTAGACCAAATGGTCTCCCTGCCTTGAAGCCTAACTCCTACAATCCAACCTTTCCCAGTTGTCAGCTAGACATCTGTTAACCTAACCATGCGACTTCCCTTCAGTGCCTCCCTGCCAGCAGCCAAATGAAGGACAGCATGGGAGATAGTGTGCCTTGTACCAGAGGGAAGTGCTTTACTCTTCCCCCTTCTGTCTGACCTGTAGACACTGTGCTGACTCACACTCCCTGCCATTTCTCTTGGTCACCCATCTGCCTGAGACGCCATCCCACCTGCCTCGCCCACAAACTCACTGCCCTTCAGAATTCTGCTCAACAGCCATTTGTTTCCAAACAGCCTCTGGACTCTGGGATATTCCTTCCCTGTGTCTTCAGTGTTCTGTGCACACCTCAGTAAGTGTTTCTGGTTCGCCGAAGACAGTGGATAATTTGCATGTAGGAGGAACACGGTGACATTGTTTCTTGGAACCTATTTCTTAGACTTCTCACAAAAACCCTACCCCACCTGTTTGTCCCATACTTCTCTCTTGAGGACAGTGGTATTCTTGTTTGCAGCGCTGTCAGCTAACATAAAAATGGGCAGAGCAGGGAAGTTGGTATAAAAATGGACTGGCAGAGAAGGTAGATGTCTGCAGTTCGAGCTGAGGACCAGTGAGACGGGCTGGTTCGGGGCTGTGCAGGCCGGGCTGAGAACCAGCCTCAGCTCTCGTCCGCGCCCGTTCCAGCCTACCACACCACCTCCTCCTTCGTTGTGAAACCGTTGGCCAGGGGGACGCCTAAACACAAAGTCCCAGATGGAAGTGCAAGTGCAGCTGGCTTCCGGTACATCATGGACCTCGTTCCATCCATGCCTACCAGACTCTCCTCCAGCGTTTAAAACACACAGATCCTTTTTTCTTTTCCAAAGCTGCCACTTGAGAGAGGATGGATTGGCGCCCCTTGCTCTTGGGCTGCGTGATTGTCGTTTGGAAGCAGGAGTCGGGGCTTGCTGGGTTCCGCGGGGTGGTGGTCAGGGCCTGTGAGCCTGTTTTGCCTTCTCTGCAGGAGAAGGCTGAGGAGGTGTATCGTCTGTATCAGAACTCCCCTCTCTCCTCGCACCCTGTGGTGGCCCTGTCGGAGCTGAGCACCCTCTGTGTCGGCTCCTGTCCCGATGAGAGGACCTTCTACTTGGTGTTGCTGCAGCTGCAGAAAGAGAAGAGAGTCACAGTCCTCGAGCAGAACGGGGAGAAGGTACGCAGTTCGGCCATCCACTGCCGTGCGCACCAGCGCTCCTGCCCCGGGGGTGTCTCAGCCTCTGTGGCAGGGGCAGCAGTAATTTGTCCCTGTCCCTCAGATTGTAAAGTTTGCCCGGGGGCCACACGCCAAGGTCTCTCCTGTCAACGACGTCGATGTTGGGGTGTACCAGCTGATGCAGAGTGAACGGCTGCTCTCACGCAAAGTGGAGTCCTTGTCCCAGGAAGCGGAGAGGTAACTGCCCCTGAGCCGAGCACCCCCACCCTGCTGGCCCTCAGAGCTGGCAAAGCATTGGCATCTGTAGGCTCTTTTTTAAAAAAAGGCACGTTTGTCTGTTTGTTTGTTTGTTTCACTGATTACAAAACTACTCACCACTCAATACAGCTGTCATGGAAAGCATAGACTATCACAAAGGAGAAAACTGAATTTTAATTATTATGAGTGCTAACACTATGTTTATGCTCTCCCACACCAGTGTCCACTTCACCGGTGCTGATCAAGCTGGGCCTTGTCTTGGGGACTTGGGGATACAGTAGTGAACACAAGTCTCTGCCTCGGGAGGCCTCTGAGGGACTCCCGCTGTTCCCTGTGGGTGACCATGCAAGGCGTCCCTGCTGAGGGCGCAGGAACACTTCTCCACAGAGGAGGGTGTATAGGCACTGGATTAAGGTGTACTTATTTTATTTTTTTTTTATTCCCTAGATTTTATTTATCTTGGAGGAAGGGAAGGAGAAAGAGGGAGAGAAACATCACTTAGTTGCCTCTCATGTGCCCCCAACTGGGGCCCTGCCTCACAGCCCAGGCATGTGTCCTGACCGGGAATTGAACCAGAGACCTTAGCGTTTATGGGACAACACCCAGTCCCCTGAACCACACCAGTCAGGGCTAGATTAAGATGTAGTTGCTCACCACATCATACAGTGGAAGAAACCCAAGCATGTGTCTGAAGTTACTGTTGGTGTTAGAAATTGATTTCTGATCTGGCTCCCAAAATGGGAGTCTGTTTTTAAGCTGCCTTGTTAGGTTCTCTCTCCCTGTGGGGAGAGAGCTTATATCTCAGCTTGCTGCCAGGGTTTGGCAGTGGCTGTCGGGCCTCATTTTTCCTGCCATTGGGTAGGATGGATTTGATCTTCAGGGCTGGAGGTACTGTACCTAGTGCTACGCTTGGGGACTTTTCAGGACCCTGCCACCCTGTCCGATGGCACTGCCATCCCGATCTGTCCCTTTGTCTCATAGGTGTAAAGAAGAAGCCCGCCGGGCATGCCGAGCAGGAAAGAAACAGCTGGTGAGCTCTTTCTTCCCCTCCAGCTGTGCGCCGGTGCACTGGGCTGGCAGTGACGGGTGCCCCAGCAGTTCAGAAAGGAACTTGGGGCTCAAGGGGAACAGTCTGTAGGTGGCCCAGGCACCACAGGGGGAGGCTCGGGGTGGCCGTAGCATCTGGGAGTGGCTGTCTTCCTCTGGCCCTTCGTTCTGCCCAGTGTGACCCTGACCACATGTCCATGCCACCCTAGGCACTGAGGTCTCTCAAGGCCAAACAACGGACAGAGAAGCGCATCGAGGCCCTGCATGCCAAGCTGGACACTGTTCAAGGCATCCTGGACCGGATCTACGCCTCACAGACGGATCAGATGGTAGCCACTGCCCCTGCGCTCAGTCCTTGTCTGGTCTGTCTGGCACCTACTTCTCATCCCCTCCACTGTGGCTCTGCTGCTTGGACGAGGCCTGGGATGTGGCTGACTGAGCCTCTTGTGTTGGGAAGTTTGGGCCCCAGCGGATGTGGGGTGAATTGAGCATGGGTAGCAAAAAAACCCAACATGAAACAAAAACCCCAAAGCTGTCTTTTGGAGATGAAACGATATTGTATGTGTTTGGCCAGTGTTCATCATTTGCACTGATAACTAACTGCCTTCTCTTTAGGTTTTCAACGCCTATCAGGCCGGGGTAGGAGCCCTCAAACTCTCCATGAAGGATGTCACAGTGGAGAAGGCAGAGAGCCTCGTGGATCAGATCCAAGAGGTACAGGAAAGGCCAGGAGGGAGACTCCAGGGGAAGTTACTGGGGACGGGTGGGACGGTGTTGCACTTCCTCCGGTCACAAACTGGACTCTACCTTGTGAGCTCGAGGAAGCTGCCTTTGATTCTCGGATGGGGTAACATTACTGTGTAACACTGAGACACAAAGACAGAGGGCCATGGAGACGTCACTCAGAGTTCACGGTCTGCACCTTCCCTTACAGCTGTGTGACACCCAGGACGAAGTTTCTCAGACTCTGGCTGGCGGGGTAACCAATGGCTTAGGTGAGTGGACAAGGTGGCTGTTCCTTCCTCCTTCCTAGGAGGACTTCACTTGCTTGTGCTGTGATGAGTCTCTCTCTGGGGCTTACCCTCAGGACTACCGGGGAGCAGTTGGCATTCCTCCCTCCGTGCGCTAGTGTTCCTTACTGACTAGGCTTCTGACTGGAAGATGTCTCTTTAAGGACAAGAAGTGGCTGGGTCAGTTCTGCGGAGTTAGAATAATATATCTTCTTAGCTACTTAGCTTCGTGCCTGAAGAAGAGCGTGTGCCTGAGCTGCCCTCTGCCTTCTGAGTCACACGATTTCTTAAGCTGAGCTGGTTTTGCCGTCCTCCATCTTTGACTCATACATGCATTTCTTCCCCAGGCTTTCTGTGTCGTCACATTGTTCTTTCTTTCCAGATTTTGACAGCGAGGAACTAGAGAAGGAACTGGACATCATTCTTCAGGATACCACCAAAGAGCCTTTGGATCGGCCTGACCACCCGCACGAGAAGTTCTACACCAACAGTGTGCCTGTCCCTAGGATCTCGGACGCTGAGCTTGAAGCTGAACTTGAAAAATTGTCCTTATCAGAGGGAGGTACGGAGCTGTATTCCCAGGGTTGCTGGTGGCTGGTGGCCATGGGGCGCTCTGGCTGAAAGGAGCCCCACAGGGTTGGCGAGTCCTCTCAGCCCAGGTACTTAATCCGCCAGGGTCCCAGAGCCTGGGAAGGGGGCTGCAGGCTCCTTGTTTATAGTCAGATTCAGCGCCTTCAGCACTGGGATGCTTCCGTCTTAAAGATCTGCCCGGTATCGTGTTCATCATTTTTTCTCCTTGCAGGTTTGGTCCCAAGCAGTAAATCTCCAAAAAGGCAATTGGAACCAACTCTCTAAAGCCATTGTAGGACCCCTCAAGTGAAGGACCCTCATCTAAAAGAGAGACCAGGCTTGTATGTGTGTACATAGTTGTTTGAAGAAGAAACTCTCAGAATTTGTTGAGAAGAGGAGGAAGGAGAACCACTCTGATTTACCTGGGTGCCACCACTTACTAGGGGACAGACACAGCTTCTGCAAGTGGGCTCCAGACTTCCCATCTTCATAGTGCCACAACTTGCACAGTTCCGTGTGTCACCTGTCGCCTCCCATAGCCTGCGGTTTTTGCCGTTGGCTCAGTTAGGTTCGTCTTCACCCACCAGCTTTGTTCCAGCCAGTGGAGGTGAAAGCTGCAGCTTTGCTAAGGGAAAATCAGTCCTCTTCCCCAACCCCACTGTTTCTTAGAGGGATGTGCTCTGTCTGTTCGGCCAGGTGAACAGCTTGTTCCAGTCCCACTCCACTTCCACTGGTGGTGAGAAGGATGAGACTCAAACAGCTGCCACTTCACGCAGAAACGTGAAAGGTTTTTCTCTCGGCTCATCTGTCAGATTCTCCAGGTGTTCAAAGCCACCCTGAGCGGCTTCGAATCATGACATCTGGAGGGGGCTCGTGTGGTTGGTGGGCGCTGCTGCCCCTTCCACCGGCTGCAGATCTGACTGGAGAAAGGGTTATTCTTGGAATTTTGAACTTGGGGGGTGGGAAAGGCCAGGTGACTGCAGGGCTCCAAGTGTCCAAACCCGTATGCTTTTTTAAACAGGCATAATCGCCACCTTGCCCCACCATGAATTAACTTAAACATAACTTCAACATCTAGTATCAGAAGAAGCCACACAGCAACACACCTCCCCTTCTGGAGCCAGGCACACACCAACAGGCTCCTTGTGTGAATTTCAGAAGCATTTTGCTCTGTGCCCACTGCTCAGAGCCGATGACCTAAGCCAGGCTGTGCAATAGAAGCAGGAGATCGGGGCCTGCTGCCGGCTCTGCCGCGTGCCTCCCGGTCCTGCTCTCTAGCTGTCCTGTGTCCTCGGGCCCTGTCATCTTATCTCCTTTGATGGGGGAGGATGGCGAAGTGGGACAGACTGGAGAGAGCGACTGCTGTGGCAACAGGGAGGAGAGAAGGTGACAGCCACACTGCCACCACAGCACAAGTTCTGCTGCTTGGAGCCCGTTCCTGGCCTCCCGCTGGAGGAGGTGTGGGGCAGAGGGGAAGGGTTCGCTCCCGGCCAGGAGCTCAAGTCACTTTCAACAAACTTTCCTCCCACTGGACCTGGGTCAACTGAAACGTTGGGGGTGAAGAAAAACAATCACTATTTTTTCTTTTTTATCTGGTAAATAATTAAAAGAAAAGCCCGAGTGCTTGTCCTTACCCCTTCTTTAAGCTGCATAAAGGCTCTTGCTCCTTCGTGCCTCAGCCCCGTGCCAGCACTGACTTGCTTTCACTTGGGCCCACGGGAGGGTGTTGAGCAGCTGCACAGTGTAAGCGCTGAGCTGTGTGCAGAACTGGCCAGTTTCCCTGAAGGCTCTCACACTGACACAGGCCTGGGGGAGGCCCCCGTGTCCTTTGAATGGCCTTGGTTATAGGACTGTGCCATCCTTTACTTTTCATTTGCCTGTTTGTTTAAATGACCCGATTTCCTCTGGCCATGGGATCCTGCCATATTTTAGTCTGGCACCAGTACGTACTCTGCCTGCTCAGGGCCTGGTGGTTGCCGCCCTGAGGGGTGGGGAGGAGGGATGGGCTTTGAGGCTGAGTGCGCGGAGGTAGGAACGGACTAGAAGGTCTGCCGCAGCACTAGGTCACAGCTCTAGGTTAGTCAGTGGGTGAGCTGAGCAAGGTGGCATTGGGAGCAAGCCCAGAGCAGAGGCAATTCAAACTGCAGTGAAGACGAGCCAGATTCTCACCGAGGCTCCAGGAAGTAGGGGACACCATCCACCCCCCATTCCTACCCTTTCCCCACCCACTCCCCCAGTAACAGCAAGGGACCTGGACTCAACAAGCTTCTTACCTGCTCTCATGTTACTTTCCCTGGCTGAGGGTACCTTGTTGAAATGGCTTGGCCTGGTTCTTTGCTGTGCTACAGGAAATTGAAAGATGTTTGTGTTACATCAGTTGAGAATAAGGAGTCGCCACTGTCTGGTGGTACCTGTGTTTTTAGCTTGTAATCCCCATGTGGGGCATGGGGCAGAGTCTTAATCAGGACTCTCTCTTTGTCAAATATGTTACTGATTTTAGAGAGAGGAGAGAGAAAGAGAAACATCCATGAGTGAGACAATCTGTTGGTTGCCTCTAATAAGCATCTTGACTGGGTATCAAACCTGCAACCTAGGTATGTGCCCTGACTGGGAATCGAACCTGCAACATTTTGGTGTTTGGGATGATGCTCCAACCAACTGAGCCACAATGGCTGGAGCAGGATTCCCCTCTTGAAGGAATGGACCTCGTTCATGAAGGGAACTGAAGTGTTTCTTATATAGAGAGAGGTCAGGCCTAAAGGGACCAGGTTCAGATAACTGCCTTTCTGAAACAGAAATATCTTGGGGTACAGACACAACTGAGAAAGTTTCAAGATTAAACACTTCAAGTGGAGCCCAGCAACATCCTCATTGAGAGCTGGCATCCAAGCTGTCATTTCCCTTGGCTATTTCCTTGGGTATTCAAAACCTTCTGAAGCAATCTACAAGTCTTAAAATATCTATGCATGACTTTGCTGAGACAAGTAGGGAGATAAAGTGATGAGTCAGGTGCGGGGTGGTCCTGACTGGGAATCAGGAAACCCGGTTCTAGTCTTCATCTCAGCCACCTGCTGGTTGGTTGTATGGCTTTGGAGACCTCAGCCCCTCATTTTCCATTTGCAAAGTGAAGCAGTCAGATGGGATGACTCCAGAAGTTCTGGTTGTCTTAGTGTCCCCCTGTATGTTCCTCCCTTCTCTTGAATCCTTGCTGCCTCATGATGAGTCAGAGCAGTGCCACAGCAATGCCAAATCTGGAAAGGTGTTTGGAGAGTCCCCAGTCACTGCTGGCAGCGGGAGAGAGCAGGGAGGGGAAGAGGGGAGAGTGTGTAGTAGGGGAGGTGGGAGGAAGGGCAAAGCCTCAGAACCTCCTGGGCCTCCCTGAAACGGGGTCTTAGCCACTGGCCTGGGACCTGGGTGGCCTCTGAGTCGGACGTGCTGCTGTGAGACAGGGGTAAGGGTTAAACCGCAACCATTGATCACTGTCTGCCTGGAGGGCAGAGTCCCCTGGTTGAGCAGACCCTCCCCCCTCCTCCTCCAAGAGGTCGAAATATTCTGGCTCAATCTGCACAAAATGGAATCAAGGCCATCAGGAAAGAGAAAACCACCAAATCTGTTCCGAAGGTCGAGGCAGCTGAAGCACTGCTGACTCACAGGGGTCCCCATGAAGCTTGGCTGTGGTTCATGACCACAAAAGTGGGACTCACAACCCACTTTTGAAGTATTTTATTGTTTCCTCACCAGCACCTGATTTTTACTCAAGTTGCAGCTTCTCTTTAGAGGAAAATGTGATTGCTTATCTCCACCTGCACACAAACCATACTCGCTCATAGACACCCAAAAAGAGAGCGCAAGGAGCCTCAGCAAGTGTAGAAAAGCCTCTGTGTTACAAGGAGGACACTGAGGTCTAGGTGACTTGCCCAGGGTCACACAGCTGGTGGGAGAACTTTCATTTGTTGGTTTCCAGTTTTGTATTCTGTTACCGCAGTCCTCCCCTACCTCTCTTTGTTTAAAATTATTTTTCTTTTTTTTTTTTACTTTTTTTTTATTGATTATGCCATTACATTTGCTCTATTCCCCCCTCCATTCCCCTCCACCCTGCATACCCCGCCCCCACCATCCCCCCCTTAGTTCACGAACACGTGTCTCAAGTTCTTTAGATTCTATACTTCCCCCACTATTCTTACCCTCCCCCTATCTATTTTCTATCTACTGTCCATGCTACTTACTTTCTGCACCCTCTCCCCCCTTCTCCTCCCACTCAATTACAGTTGTCATACAATATTAGTTTCAGGTGTACACCCTAGTGATTAGGCATTGTATAATTAAGTAATCATTCCAATAAATCTTGTACACATCTGATACCACATATAATTATTAGAATATTACTGACTATATTCCCTATGCAGTACTTTGCATCTCCATGACTATTTTATAACCACCAATTTGTACTTCTTAATTCCTTCACCTTTTTCACCCATCCTCCCAACCACCCCCTCCCATCTGCCAACCATCAAAATGTTCTCTGTATCTATGAGACTGTTTCTGTTCTGCTTGTTTATTTTGTTTTTTAGGTTCAATTGTTAGTAGATATGTATTTATTGCTATTTTATTGTTCATATTTGTTGGGTTTTTTTCTTCTTACAAAAGACCTTCTAACATTTCTTTTAATACTGGTGTGGTAGTAATGAATTTCTTTAGCTTTTTATTTTATTTTATGCCTTATTTTATTTTTTAATTTTTTAAAATTTTATTTACTTATTTTTCAAGTACAGTTTTCTGTCTGTTTCTCCCATCTCAGCCCAACCTGCCCTGTGCTCCCCACCTCCCTCCCATTTCCACCCCCCTTAGTTCTTGTCCTTGTGTCCTTCATACTTGTTCCTCCAAATCCCTCCCCTTTTTCCCCTTAAATTCCCTCCCCTCTCCCCTCTGGTCACTGTCCCCTTGTTCTCTATTTCAGTGTCTTTGTTTTTATTCTGCTTGCTTGTTTGTTTTGTTGTTTAGCTTCCTGTTAAAGGTGAGATCATACGGTATTTGTCTTTCAACACCTGGCCTATTTCACTCAGCATAATGCTTTCCAGTTCCATCCATGTTGTTGCAAAGGGTAGGAGCTCCTTCTTTCTCTCTGCTACATAGAATTCCATTCTGTATATGTACAACAATTTTTTGATCCATTCATTTACTGATGGGCACCTAGGTTGCTTCCAACTCTTGGCTATTGTAAATTGTGCTGCTATGAACATTGTGGTGCATAGGTTCTTTGAAATTGATGTTTTAGGATCCTTAGGATATAATCCTAGCAGTGGAATTGCTGGGTCAAAAGGCAGGTCAATTTTCATTTTTCTGAGAAAATTCCATACTGTTTTCCATAATGGTTGCACCAGCCTGCAATCCCACCAACAGTGAACTAGGGTCCCCTTTTCCCCACAACCTCTCCAACATTTGTTGTTTGTTGCTTTGTTTATGATAGCCTTCCTGACTGGTGTAAAGTGGTATCTCATTGTGGTTTTAATTTGCATCTCTCTGATAGCTAACAATATTGAGTATCTCTTCATGTGTCTCTGGATATTCTGTATGTCCTCCTTGGAGAATTATCTGTTCAAGTCCTTTTCCGATTTTTTAATTGGGTTGGTTGTCTTCTTAGAGTGGAGTCATGTAAGTTCTTTGTATATTTTGGAGATTAAACCTTTGTCTGTGGTATTGTTGGCAAATATATTTTCCCATACAGTTGGTTGTCTTGTCTTTAGCTTTTTATTGTCTGGGAAACTGTATATGTTCTTCTATTCGAAGTCACAGGTTTGTTAGGTAAAGTAATCTTGGTTATAGGTCCTTGCTTTTCTTACCACTTTGAATGTTTTATGCCAATCCCTTCTGGCCTGAAATGTTTCTGTTGAGAAATCAGCTAAAAGTCTTATGAGAGCTCCTTTGTAAGTAACTAACTTCCTTTCTCTTGCTGCTTTCAAGATTCTTTCTTTGTCTTTAACTTTTGCCACTTTAATTATAATGTGTCTGGGTGTGGGCCTTTTTGGATTCATCTTCTTTGGGACTCTCTGTACTTCTTGGACTTGTATGTCTATTACTTTCACCAGGTTGAAGAAGTTTTCTGTCATTATTTTTTCAATAGGTTTTTCTATTTCAATTTCCTATTTCAATTTCTGTTTCTCTCTCTTCTCCTTCCAGCACTACCTTGATGTGAATGTTGGCGCACTTGAAGTTGTCCCAGAGGCTCTTTACACTATCTTCACTTTTTGAACTTTTTCCTTTTTGCTATTCTGATTGAGTGTGTTTTTGTTTCCTTATATTCCAAATTGCTCTTTTGATTCTCAGCTTCATCTACTCTACTGTTGATTTCCTGTAAATTATTCTTCATTTCAATTAGTGAATCCTTTATTTCTGACTGGCCCTTGCTTATGCTGTTGAGGTCCTCACTAAATTCATTGAGCATCCTTATAACCAGTGTTTTAAACTCTGCATGTAGTTGATTACTTGTCTCCATTTTGTTTAGCTCTTTTTCTGAAGTTTTGTTCTGTTCTTTCATTTGGGGTATGTTTCTTTGTCTCCTCACTTTGGCAGCCTCTCTCTGTTTGTTTCTATATATTAGTAGAGCTGCTATATCTCCCAGGCTTGGTAGAGTGGCCTTATTTAGTAGATGTCCTGTAGGGTCTAGTGGCACAGTCTCCC